TATATTATAATACAGAACAGAGTCATGTTGTCTGTGCCTGTAAATGTAATACATTTTTTATATAGTATTATTATTAGACATGTTTGAATGATGGAAACAGCTGCTGTAATAAGTTTCAATAATGTGATGACTTGTTGAATCTTAATTACTTGATAAACTGTAAGTTCTGTCCATGGTTGTAACAAAATGAACAGGTGATAAAGAGTAGCCCTGTCAAATTTAAAAATGTACTTAAATTTATCTTTATGTTAATAGTAAAAATGATACATGCTGCTTACATTATATAATTATATACAAATATTAAGAAAAATCATCACAGATCTTAGTTATTCAAGATATTCAACTTCTGATTTGATAAACATGAGTGAGGATTATTGATTAATAATTGCAATGTATACTGTGGGCAAGGTGGGTTAAGTGTCTTGCCCAAGGACACAACACCAGCATTCATCTGTGGGAGCTGGAATCACACCAGCCAACCTGTGGGTATGACTTATTTTAAAGTAGTAATGCAGCTGTTTGTTTAATTCGTCAGTCGTCCAGGTAGGATCCATAGTAATAGAAAAGATCTATTCTGTCAACAGGACAAAAGCTTTCTGAGTTTTCAGTTTTCAGCACTTTTTAGATAATATGTAAATAAATATTAAGTATTTAAATGTTTATTTTCATCATGTTTTTCATAAATTTGGGTTTATGGTCATAGTTTTGGAAGTGGGAGAGCTTGGTAAAGCTGATATATAAATGAGAACCACATGTTACAAGCAGCACTGTGCTACAATGGCTGTTACACACTTCATTATACTGCGTGTGCTGTGTGCCTTTTCAATATTGTTTCATGCCTGGTCCATAACAGAGAGTCTGGATCAGCCATCACGTCTGGAGAATCCCATACTCACATGACTTACTCTGGGTTAGACTTCAGCAGCTTCATGGAACTGGGTGAGACGGCTCCAGGTAAAGGCCTGGAGTGGATTGCATTTGTACACACTGGCAGTAGTCACTTCTACTACTTCCAAGTCAGTGAGGGACGCTTCACTTCCAGAGACGACTTCCAGCAGCAGGTTATCTGCAGATGAGCGGTCTGAGGACAGAGGCCACTGCGGCTGTATACTGTGGCCAGAAAGACACAATGAGACAGAATAACAGAGCGCTGGACAAAACTACTTCTCCTTCACTGTGCTCTTATCTATGGTAAAATAGTGGCAATACTTCACCAATTTTCAGCACTAATGCCACAAAGAAAAACTAAAACTTTCCCTTTCATACCCATAGATATAAATGCATATATGACTTTAGCATGAAAACGGTTTTCTGTTAACAAAACTACCTTTTTTACCTCAATTCAAATGATCAGAAATATTGTTGCAAAAACCGTTTCGAGATTCCCAATTTTTGAGTCATTATTAAATAGTCTAACATTACAATATTTTCTGAGTGCAGCACAGGGAGA